AATCCCAGAGGTGCATGGTTCGAATCCACCAGATGCTCTGCCGGGGAAGGAGGGACAATCTCCTCCTGTACCAGTCAGATCTGATTTGACGGTACGTACACACACACACACACACAAAAAAAAAAATAAAATAAAATAAAATAAAAAAATATTTTTTAAAAAAAAGTAAGCTTGTGTTTGGATAGGGAGTAAAAGCACATCATCCACTCTAAAGTGCTTGGGGTTCAAAGTATTCAAAGCAGCTCAAAACCCGAAAAGAGGGAGGGGGAAAGGCACTGAGGAAGGAAAATCACAAAGAGCCTAAAGAAAAACAAGGAAGGTAGAGGTCAGGGCCCTGGAAGGCACCAAGCCTGTGGGGTTGAGAGGTCAGGGTCTAGGATCTCAACTTCGCCACTTCCAAGACTATGACTCTGAGACAAGATCATTTAAATCAACCTAAGTCATTAAAAAAAGAAAACCCACATCCTCTCCCTGCTGCGGAGTTGGAAATAACTCACAGCTAACCCTGCAGCCGATTTCCGAAGCTATAAATCTCACAGAAGGAAACTGCTCGTCTTTCTCCACAGGAGCCCTCAGTGGATTCGCACCACCAGACAGGCACGGCCTTTGAGCCAGCAGCACAACTCTTACAGATGAGGCCATCAGAACTCTTAACAGCTACACTTAGAGAAGCTTTATGTAACAGTGTACACAAAAAAACCTGATGTGTCTTATTAAAATACTTGATCGGAAGAGCATATTAATACCTTGTAGGAGACCAAAGAAATAGTAACTACATGAGGGACAGTGAGGCACCTACGGATATGGTCTTCAAGATGGCAAATACACTAGAATATCTTCACTAAGTCTGCTAAAAAGCAAGTGAAATATTTAAAGCAAAAACCAAGACTGGGCCAAAATAAGCTATTTAATCCTAAAAAGGAAAAACAGTCTTTAAGCCAAGATTTTCAGAGACCCTTCTATACACCTACACAACACACACACACACCCCCACCCCCAAAAAGCCAACATTTTCCTAGTTAACATTACTTTAGATCAGAAAAAGTAACTGAATAGAAACAAGTATTTTAATTGTGTAATTTAGTCTAAAAACAGACTGAAGGCATCTGGATTGGGACAAGGAGTTTCTACCAACAAGGTCTTTCCTAAAATCTAATTTATTTCATTTCCTCCATTAGGCTTTTAAGCCTCCTCATTATCAGACAAAAGACAACTACTGAAAAGCAAGCATCCTGTGCCAAGAGCAGAATGTGGGCCCGTCTGACGTTGGCACCACCTCTAGAGACACAACATCAAGAGGGTGGGATGAGGGAGGCTGTGAAATATCCCACAGTAAAATGACTGCCCCTACCTGAAAAACCCAAGTCAAACGTCTAAGGTGCTACACAAGTTTGAGGTATTCTGACCCAGAATACAGAGCCACTCGGAAGACACCTGTTTGGGAATTTGGGGAATTTCAGCCTGACCCATTTAAGACTCTTACCTTTGCATCTCTTCCTGTGTAAGATTTTTTCTCATTTCTCTAGACAGGTGATAAAGACGATGAAGTGTGGATGCATGGAAAAGAGCATTTCCAGACTTCCAAAACACAGTTGAGACTTTATTATAGTAATTGGCCATCAACTGTGGCTTAGGTGGCTTTTTAGACAGGGAGAATAGTCCATGAATATCTTCCACAGCTTTGAATGCTTCCTAAAACGAACAAAAACTGCAGTCATTGCCTTTGAAACAAAACAAAATCTAATTCAAACATCTAAATAAAACCTTCAGAAAGCTGTCATTAGGAAAAAACTAAATCCTCAAACTTTTTAATTTATCAAGGAATTTGGCACACAGACAATATGCAAGTGCATTTGGGGACCAGCAAGAGGCACAAACAGAAGTCATACTGTTTTTTTTCTGAATATTGGACAACTAACTGAAAGGTCAGCAGTTCAAATCCACCAGCTGCCCTGAGGAAGATGAAGCTGTCTAGTCCCGTAAGAGTCACAGCCTCAGAACCCCATGGAGCAGCTCTGTCCTGCAGTTAAAGTCCCTGTGAGGTGTAACTGACCCACTGACAATGACTTATTTCTGAATGATAAAAGGACAAAAAATTTCTTTTTAGTCATTGTCTTTGAGAGTGTTTTGGCTGGTTTTTTGTTTTCTCTTTTAGCTCATCGGTAAGGTTTTTAGATGGGTATCCCTACACAGAAATATTATAGGGAGAGACTAAAAAAGTAAAGTATTATCACCTAGTTTAGTAATTTTTCATTTTCTTTGTAACTCTAGAGAATGTGCTTTGTGTGAGTGAGACAGAAATATGTATTTCTGCAATATAGCTATTAAATCACATGTGACTCAGAGCAGTTGTCAGGGGCCTGGATAACTTGCAAAGCAAGATTATCCCTGTACCGTAAAACCAGCAAGACTAATTCTATCTTGGCCAGAACATCTGCTTGACAATAACAACTCTAGGAAGCAGGATGTTACTGAATAAGAGTGACCAAAGGTCTCAGAACTTAGGGAATGTTATCTACCGAAACTCTTTGTTTCTTAGAGCTCACAATAAGGTATGCTGGAAACCATCTTTGTATTGTGCTGAGGTCTGTCAGAGTTAATGTTTGACCTGAGAGTCAAAATCTCGGATGGAAAAAGAGAATGCAATCGCTACTGCAGAGGTGCTTCTAAAAAGCTATACACACACACACACACACACACACTTTTCAAAAAATAATATTCTTTTGCTATTCGTCATCAGCGTTTAGCCTCTCTGCATCTTCATTTCATCCTCGTCCCTTCTCTCAGCAGAACTGTTTCAATGTATTGGGGCTGAACCCTGATAAGCAGACAGTCAGCAGGGGACAGAAATAGCACTGTTTTGGCGAGTGTATTACAATGCTCACCATGCAGTCAGACAAGCTAAACAAAGTGAAGAAATCTCCAAAATCACCTTATACAGCACCTCCCAAAAATATCTGTAGTAAAGGACACGTTCCGGGTTTTTTAATTTCCAGTTTTAGCCAAGTAGTATTTCATTTTAAAAAGCAATAAAATTACTACCAAACAAATTTTTAACAAAAATAAAACTATAGTAAATGTGCTAAGTACATACTCCTGGTGTCACCAGTGGGTGGACATATGATTACCCTCAGAAGTACTAATGGTCACATATAGTTTGACATGAAGAGAATCAAGTCCCAAAGAGGTTACACTATTTGGTCTAAATTTTACTGCAGGGAATCGAAGGGACTCTCTAAAGTAAAACCCTTTCTTCTCAGAACTCTCATCTCAAAAAATCATTATTTTTAATCCTAACAGCCTTATAGGTAACCCTAAACCAGCAGGTTTTCCATGGCTGTAAATCACAGAAGAGGCTGCCAATCTTTCTCCCTTGGCATAGTTGATGGATTCAAATCACCTGCCTTTATGTTGTATCTCAACTTCCCTAGGCTCTAGGCCACCAGAGCTCCCCAGAAGACCTTTTATTCCTTACTTATGTTAGAACTGATCCACAGACACCACGAAGATACTACAGACAAAAAGAAATAAAAATACAAATTCTATTACAACAACGAAAAGGTTAACAGGTAACAACATACCTGCCACAGTTCCATGCTGATGGCACTGTCCAGCTGAACAAGCCTGGTTTCCAGATGCATGGACTGGCTCTCGGGGTTATTAAGATTGATGGCTGTACTCTGGTTATGGTGCCGTTGAATTTGGGACAAGTGCATTCGCAAATTGTCACAGAGCTTACGGAACTCAGCCTTGCGAGTGTATTGGAGGCAGAATTTGAAAGCTGTAAGCAACAATTTTCAAAAGTATTAGGTCCTTTCCATCAGCAACTTAAATAATCAAGACATTTACAAACGAAGATGACATATTCTGACAACATTCACTAGTCTTCAGAAACAATTACAACCACTTGCTTCGTGTGTCCTTTCTGACCGAATCCTGAGGACGACATGATCCTGGGAGAGTTACAAATAAAAAACGAACAGAACATGGGTTCAGGAAAAACTTAAACCTCTCAAGATCTAATTATATCACATCTTTTAAAAGTCTCAAATACAATAACATGTTTTGTTTGTACCAGGACTTCCTATCAGTTTGAACCAGTTCAGTCAAGTCCTCTGAAGCAAAATGAGAACATCTCAATTTTTCAAATCTGAGGGAAGAGAGTAAGTGCAAGAGGAAAAGCTAAGGATCAAGGTCCTGAAATGGGAGCCAGAACTACTGGGACTCTGATGTGGGCAACTGAGATAGTAACTATGGAGACAGGTTTATTGAGTTAGTCACTGTGGAAAGCAAACACAACACATTCATGATGGTGTGGTCAGCTGCCATCTTTGAGCCAAGCATCGCTGTGTCTGACTCTGCTGGCAGATCAAGAGATATGGTCGCTATGCAATGCGTAAGGTTCCTTTGTTCTCTGTAAGCAAGACTATGTTTCAGCAAAGAAATCACCAGTGATTTCCTATGCTGGTACACCATTTTACAAATCCAGGTCCATTTCCCCTTCACTCCACTGTCCTTGACTGAACCAACAAAAACTGATTCAAAGCACTATTCTTCACTAATTAAAGCCAAGTAATACAAGATTTACGTGACCTAATTTCAACTGTGCGCAGATTTAATGCATGTGCTCAATCACTAAAATTCACTGTAATTTCCTAAAGCTGTCAAACACATAATGCTAGTTATTTTTGTTGTCCTTTTAAAAACTATTCTATTCCAAAAAACTTAAAGGAATGTAAGAAATTAAAGTTAATATCGCATTATTTAAAAGCTCAACTTTGTTAAACTGAAAAATTCACAGTCTTGTGAACACAACCTAGCACAGGTTTCTAATGTTGCCCATAAAACATCTTTAGTTACAAACATCATTTAAAACATTAATAAAAAAGGAGCTCTGGTGGTCCAGTGGCAAGAAGCTGCGCTGCAATCCAAAAAGCATGCAGTTCTAATGCACCAGATGCTCTGCTGTAGGAGGAGGAGTAATCTCCTCTACTAGTCGGATCTGATTCAATGGCACACACAGACAAAATAATAGAATAATAGGAAAATTAATTAAATGGAAAAAACCTCATGAATAAACTAATGCCAATTCCACAGCTAGTAAAAAGACATAAGATCAGAAAAAAACACTGACCATTCTCAAAGTTATCGAGCTGCACTTAGTTCGAAAGTTGCACTGACAAGGGGAAAGAGCATCAGGTGACAGCAGAGGTAGAGAACCAGAATGTCAGTGCCATCCTTCAGAGTCCAGGTGTGAGTGCAGTACTGTACCCCAGTGTGTTTGATGAGAATTCTAAATCATTAAAAATAATGCACTCTACATTTGGTCATACTGTTTAAAAAAGGAAAAACAGCAGTACTTTTCATCAGGTCACAGCTTACTGAAGCCTTCCAGACAGTGCATGATAAGAGGCATGCCCAAGGATATGCAATAGAAAGGCAAGTTTTCTTTTACTCAGCCACCTGGAAAAATCTCAAGCCTTTTAAAAGGCTCTTTTAAAAAAAAGGCTCTTCAAACTCCACTGGAGTAAATTTTATATGGAATTACCTGAACCAGTAAGATAATGTCTCATTCTGTCATTTAAAATATTATAACAAAAGTGTTCGCTTGTAATTAAAAATAAATTACCAACGAACTATTTTACTAGTTCGTTAAACACCAAAACAAATTTTACAGCACGGGTAACAAAATGTGGATTTACTTCAACTTTAATAAATACTTCTGCAAAATTCTATTTCTAAAGCACCTTTCCAATCCATCTCCTCAGATTCCACACGTTTGTCTTACCTTGTTGTGCGATGTCATGATAGAGACGCTCTACTCTAGAATTGTTTCGAAGAAGATCCAGACACTGCCTGTATGATTCCCATAGGAATTTAACCCATGGCGTTAAAAGCAACCTGTCAGTCCGATCCTGGGTGTCCTCCCCGCTCACAGCGCTCAGAAGAACACTACAAAAGACAGGAAGCCAAAAGTGAGAACTGTGGGCATCGATTCCTACTTTACCACCTACTTAAAAACTGAAGACACTGACTGTAAGGACTTCTTCCCTCACTTGTCCTGTCAAGCTATCACTCACTATTCATCTACTTTAGATTAGTGTACAGCTTCCTAACAATGTTACAAATTCGGAATCAAATATATGTTTTTTGGTAGCTACAGTTAAAACTTCAAAGGCAAGCAATCTTTCTGATTCATACATACTTGATAGAGAAATGGCAGAAACCATACAAAAAAACATTGGCGTAATCCACAGAAGAAACGCAGGTTTCTGTCCCATACCTTTCGGGGGTCTGAATATTATCCAGGTCTTCTATATCTAAGACCATCTGCTGAGACTCTTCTTTGGCAGCTTCCGTTTTTTCTTCTGCCAATTTCAAATATGCCCGAACAACATCCTCTAGAGATTTGATGTTTACCTAATAAAAATTAAAACCTCAAATATTTTGCCAACTAATGATAAAAAGCAGATTCTCTAAAGTATAAAACATATTTTCAAAGGTAAATTCCTTTGTTGTTATGTGCCATCGAGTTGCTCCCCCATGTACAACAGCTCTGAGCCCATCTCACGAATTCCGGCACACCAACTCCCATTGCTCAAGTTACTGTATCAGTCTATCTCATCTAGGGTCTTCCTCTCCTGTACCTCCACCCTTCCAAGCATGATGTCCTTCTCAAAGGACGTGCCCAAAGTACGCGAAACAGAATTTCAAAATCCCAGCCTCCAAGCAGAAACCTGGTTTCACCCTCTCCAAGTCAAATGGCTTTGTTTTCTTGGCTGTCCACAGTATGTTCAAGACTCTATTCCAGCACCACAATTTGAAGGCACTGATTCTTCTTCTGTCATCAGCACTTTTTTAAAACCCAATTATGTTCAAGACTCTTTTCCAGCACCACAATCTGAAGGCACTGATTCTTTTTCTGTCATCAGCACTTATTTAAAACCCAATTCTCCTCTTACCTGTTGACAGATATTCTTATATTGGTATAATCCTTCCTTTGCCAAATGGCTCTTGCGAAGATCCACGCATAGCTCCAAGTATTTCAACATAATTGGCTCGTGTATCTTTTGCCATGTTCGATGTTTTTTACTTTTCATAACATCATAAAGAACATCCAATGCAGGCTGCTTTTTACCAACTTCAAGAAACTCTGAAAAAGTAATTAAAACAAATTACAATCAGTTATAATATACACAAGTCTAAATTTTCCCTTTTTAAACTGGCTGCATTGATTTCGAAGTTCATGACCACCCTGGTTTTTAGGTCACATTTATTTTTGCTTCTAAAGCTATGTCATCCAAAGCAAAGATGCCAGTATTTCAGCTACAGCCCACAGGTTAAACTGGATACCACCCAATTTCACTTTATCAATCCTACCTTCCTAAGGGATTTGAAAATTCCAGGCATAGAAGTCACAAGAAGAGACCCTCATAAGCCTCCAGAAGCTCAAGCGTAACTTCAGAAACAGGGATGCAGCTAATGTATTTTCTGCTAACTCATGCTACATCTTGAAGGAGAAAAACATCAGGTTGCCTTTACATCTTTGTCAAAGATTATCTGTTCATATTTCTGGATTCTCCATCCTGATCTACTAAACTAACCAGTCTTTGCTAATATTGTGCTGTCCTCACTATGCAGCGTATAAGTTTTAAAATCAAATTTGTTAATTATAAGACCAGTTTTGTGCAGTCTTATTCTAAGTCCTTTCTCTTTTCACAAAAGACTCAGACTGTTGATAGCTACAAAATACACTGGAACATTGCCTGAAATCACACTGCATCCATGGATAAATGGCATCTTTACAATACTGGGGGTTCCAATCCAAGAATATGACATTTTACCCTGATCTAATAGGGGAAAACAAACAAAAACAGTAATTGAGACAGTGTACAAAATCACTAACCAGCACTCCTCCAGTCTGAGAAACTGTCACAGCAAGAAGAGATTAGGAGTCAGTACTATGTTATAATGTGGTACTGGAATGAGACTCTAGAACAGAGTAAGATCAGAGAAAACTAGGAAAGTAAGACTACAGCGAGGACCTTTAAAGAGTATCAAAGAAACAGCTGTGTTTTGCATTCACTCTTGCCCAAGTGTGCAGACTTTCTGTATAAGGGAAATGTTGCAAAATCCAGGGCCATTCCTAGGGCATATGTTGTGCTCCTTTCAAAACAAAGTCAGAAGCAAGGCTTAAGCTCATTTCTGACCAAGGTTAAAATGTTTTATCTTTGACTTTATTAACGTATGTCACTGAATAAGAACTTGAATTTTAAAGAGTCAAAATTTCACATTAAAAAACCTTTCTATTGCTCATGTGAAAAATGAGGGAATGTCAGTGTTGGCTTATATTATAAAAAAAATTTTAAAAAAATGCATCTCTGGGTTTTAAAATTGTGGGGTTTTCCTAAGGAAAAATGCAACTTGCACAAGGAAATACATTTTTAAATAGTTAGCCTGGTATTATTTAAATATAAGTGGAGATATTTATCTATCTATACTACCAGGGAATTTTTGTGGCTGAGAGGTAAGAAACTGAGCTGCCAACAGAAAGGTAAAATGTTCAAATCCATTAACTGCTCCACAGGAGAAAAGATACAAAATCCCCTCCCATGTTGTGTTTGTTTCTTTGTTTGTTTGTTTGGTCTGTGAAAACCTGCTGGAGGGTCAGTCCCAACTCCAAAGTACTCAACAACATCTACTATTGAACTGCTAGGCAAAAAAACCCCAGCCATTATTTGGGAGTTTTATCATTTTTACAGACTTAGTAATTGCTCTCTTTCTACCTATAAAAATCTACAATTTCTTCTTTCAACTATCACATCTTCTACAACTGTTTCTTCTCTGCATTTCTTCCTCTAGAAAAACTATACACCTTTCAGTAGCTCCAGTATATCAAGCAATTTCCAACATATCACAATGTACTGAATACTAAGTATCATCACTAATACCCTACATCACTCCTTATAATATCAAATCATATTCTTTACAGGAAGAGGAAAACTAAACCTTCTTCACTATTATAAACTGGTGGTGGTGGTTGATTGCTGTCCAAAAGACCTAATGCCTTTCCATGAAACTGTCATCATTTCTCCAAGTTCATAGTTTTCAGAGGCATGTGGTTTAGGAAGTGAAAGCCACTCCTGCTTCCAAACCTATTTTACAACTGGAAGCTCCACCAAACACTGTCCACATTGGGAAACCGTTCTGGTATTTGATACTCCAGTTGTACAAGGTTCAGCATCATAGCAACCCAGGTTACTTCATACTGCACATTGACAAAGAGTGATGTCCAAAGTGGAAGAGTGTTCCTCCAGATATAACAGCACTGGTTTCACTTCTTGTTGTTGTTATGTGCCGTCGAGTCGTTTGCGACTCATAGCGACCCTATGGACAACAGCCCTAAACTCTGCTCTGTTCTGTGCCAATCGCACTGTCTCTGACACTCCCATCCCGATTACCCCAGTCACTGAATCAATCCACCTCATAGAGGGCCTTCCCCTCCTG